CTGTCACGGCGAAGGAATTCAATGGCAGAACCGTCACCATGGCCATTTTCCTGAGCCATTCACTGGTGAGTTTCCAATCGAGAGGTTTCATCAGTGGAGCAAACATGTCAAGGTGTCACTTGGATCCACTTGGCATCATTGTGGTATCAGTCGTGCGTGTGATTCAATAACGACTTGGATCCACTTGGCATTATTGTGGTATCAGTCGTGCGTGTAATTCAATAACGAATAAACGTTTCTGCTCAATGACTTTGCTTTTGAATGATGTGCCAGCCTTCATTCGGTAGACTAAGCTGCACGTACCATAGGTCATAAGTACAACCTCCAATGTCGTTCCAATCACCCATCTTCCAAATAAGCAAAACCACCAACAATGTGATGAACCAACTGGTAGTGTCCTTATGCCTTTATTGGGTTTGCTTCGACCAACCCTATGTTACCCACTGCACCTCCACTACCCACCACGCCCGACTGGGGATGTGGCGCTGGAACAGCCAAGGTCTTAGCATTGGCGACACTGAGGTGTGTGTGTGTGTGCGCGCGCACAGCATCAACAAAAAAAACATGTGGAATTACATCACAATTAGAAAGCACATGATAGCACATGATAGCATAATTAGATAGCACAATTAAATATCAAACTTGACGTGAACCGAGACGAGATCTAAGATTATTTATCGCACACACACATGAATGAAAACCATGGTTTTCTCAGATTGCCATGACGTGGCTAGCTGAGCTTCTGCAGTGGGGTCCATTCTGTGGGGTGCTCCACATCCTGCAACTTCGGGTCAGCATAGGTAATCTGACCTCATTTTTTTACAGAAAATCCGAATTTCCTCCATTCTATTGCTAAAAGTTAGCCCATTAACTAACGATTCAACAAGTAGTTTTCCTTTCTTTTGGTGGAATCATATGCCGCATCCATCCACAGCGAAACTGAAAATGGTTTAAAATAAAATTTGCAGGAAAGGAAACTATGTGACAATTATTGCGTCAAAAATACGCAAATATATGTAATTATGTACCTAATGTCTTTATATGTACCCAGGCATCTCTATAATATATGCGTATATGTGTAGTATATGTACACACACATATATCATATATATATGTATATATGTGTGTGTTTTTCCTGTTTTTTTTCATACTATGTTTTCTCTTTATGAAATTCCGGGATTCAAGTGGGGGCTCCACGGCCAGGTTCACATCCAGCCCCAACGGGGGCCCTGCCCGAGGTTCGGAAGGCGGTGTAGGGACGAGTGGTGTCATGGCCTCGCCAAACAACATGCCTTCGAGTTCGAGTCGGTAAACATGGAGTTACAGCAATTCAAAAAAAAAACACCGTTTGTCAAAATGTAAATTGTTTTTTTTTCTCTCTCTCTCTCTATGTAAATATAATATAAATAAATCGTTGACCAATCATGTGCCACTCCATTTACCCAGGCTGCGTTACGTGCAAGTGGAGCCCCGAACCGGTGCGTTCGCATTGGCTGCCATCCTGGCAAAGGATGGGGAAACCCTTGGAACATCATCTATAAACTATGGGTTTTCCGTATCTTTATTACAGTAGCTTACTGGAAGGTATCTTAATGTTCATAATTGAGATGATGTAGGAATATTAAGGAAATATCAGTGTGCCTCATGTTTGTCCATTACCTATTGAGATATTATATGTAATTAGGGTAGTAACCATCTGATCATAGGGAACATTATGAACATATATGAAAACTATAAATATAATTAAATATATATATATATAAGTGTGGATGAACGATTGTTGGAGCATTGCTGAGCATTATGATCACACGCCAATAATCTAGAATCTTAATTGAATGGTTGATAACTGACACGTTATCGACATTCAAACAAACAAACAAACAAACAAACAAACAAACATTGCATATGGATGTGTGTGGAATATGGTTGGAATGGTAGGGTAAATGAAATCTCAGTCTCAATCATCAATACTTCATTGGGATATTGGTTTGGATATTGCGATCTGATCATAAGGAACATGATCATAGGGAAAATGATGAACATTAGGCATATTTATTGAATATTATTTATATACTTCTTGGGAAATTAACCATCAATGATATGATTGGGGTACTCAATCCTAATGGAGCGTACCCCGAAATTGCCATGTATATTTGACAAGTGAACGTCATGACAAAGCATTGGTTCGCTACAGATTGAATCTGCAAGCCATTCCAAATCTGAAATCAATCCATCACCCTTAAATCATGCGAACTAATGCGAACCACGAGCCAATGGAAAACATATTTCAACTCAACGCATTATCCCATTCGCTGATTCCCCGGCAAAAGCTTGAGAACTTGCATCAGCTGCAACTTGTCTTGCGGATTGAATTGGCCCTCCATAGCTGGATCTGTTTCTCCGCTTGTCACATCATCATATGATAATATATATTATATATATTTATATATAATATTATAATTATAGATTATATATATATATATTATATTTATTTATTTATTATTATAATTATTATTGTTAATTATTATTATATATTTATATACATCCTTGGGGCCACAATGAAAATATGCCCAAAATCCCTAAATTGCTTCCCACCCTGGGCCCAGAAATCTGACCCACTGCCACCAAGCGTCCGCCCCTGGTCAGCCATCCCAGCCATCCCAGCCACCTCAGCCACCTGTTGACACTGGGCTTCCCCAACGGGTAGCCCCCGGTGTCATCAAACGTTGCTGGCTGGTCCACCAGCACGGTTCGATGATTGTTCAGCAAACTCTATTAGTTCGGGCATTTTCCAACCCCACGTTGGATTACCGCAGGGTCTCTCAGGATTTTGGTTGATAGGGGCATGGTCCCACATGGCGCCAAGATCTGTCTAGCAGCTTTTGGGCCCACACTGCGTTTTAGGGAGAAAAAATGTTAAAAGGATAAATTTGGTACAAGTACCCAAAAATGGTAAGACTCAGAGCCAGGGATCGTTGATCAAATTGCCCATGCAACTTTCCCCATTCAGCAGCTGCCTGCCAGCACCCGCCAGCGCCCAAACGGGTCACTGGTAACGTTCGAGCCCAATTGGTCGCGCGGAACATATCTTCAAGAGTTGTCAAGAGGGGCAATCATCTCCACCTTTGTCTCCACATTTGACATGAACTTGTCGCGTCACTTCAATGTCTTTCCAAAGCTTTGGGTTTGGCTTTGGCAAATAGGTATATCATTTCTATAGTCCATAAAATTCCATAAATATCCATAAATGATGAAGCATTTTCAAGGAGCGCTGCGGGAGGTTTCAGGCAGGCCTTACTTATACTGCCTTGATCCCTATACAGCTCAGAGTGAACTGTTCCAACCCCTACTTAAAAAAATAGAAACAAATAAATACCCTCTCTATGACTTCAAACGCTGACATCAAATTTCTACGTGAAACCAGCTGTTGAAACAGGAGTTTGACTTTCTAATTCCGAATCATTTTGCAGTAAGTTACAGCCAAGAAACCAACCAGCCTGGGTGAAAGCAGTTGACCGAAGTGAGACAGCCATCCCCAACGCTTCCCTTGCAACCCCCCAGGAAAGGTTCATTTTCATTCATTGTCCGCATTGGCAATTACGAGCTTCGGCCCCTTCTAGCAGACGAAAGGATGCAGCAAATACTGATAGCTCACTGCAGCTGGCAAAGTAGTTTGCATACTGCCAGTGCCATCCAATCCGCTTGCAGCTTCTTTGACAAAGCGAAACTCGGGTGAGTTTGGATCTGTCTGAAAGATACCTTCAGCAATGCCACGCATGGAAACTGTGCAAATATAAAGGCAACCTTTTTCTCGGGGTGCGTGGTTAAGTTTGAAGCACTTTCTGCAAGTCTCCCTTCGTTAAATGATGTTGGATCGCTTATATAAAGGACTGCACCAGTGGGTTCAAAGGTTTTCCCTTGGAAATTTCTGGCGTGACGTCACATCAACATAGATTGTATGGGTATGGGTCAAACTTGTGACAGCCCCCGAGGATGGAAATGGAAGACAAAATGACCTTGCTCCACTGAAGGGATGGGGAGGGGAAGCGGATTATGCCCTCAGTTCTTTCAAACATGGTCTGGATATGTCTGGATCCTCTCGCCCCCTGTCAAGCTGATTTGGTCAGAAGAGGCTGGCTTGAGCACTCAAACATAACTTCCAACAAGAAGGTCGGTGTATGCTGATGCGATGCTGTCCAACAGCAAGTCCAACGAAAAGGGTCAGCTGGAATTAACTCGCACATGGTAAGTGAGCAGTGTGCATTTAAAAATATACCGTAAACAAAAACCACATAGACGTACACTGTTACATAATCCAAAAACATCCAAAAACATGTGAACCACACACCAATTTTGTAGGCTCTATCATTCAACATCTGGTGAAGCACTTGTACCATGTTCCCTCACCTTCGGATTGTTTGCCTGGCTTTGATGTGTTTTGAAATTCTTACTTCCCATGAAAAGTTCTGCAAGTGGCTCAACCAGGCTCCTTTCCTAACTACCTGCAGCTGTAAACCTGCCACAGGATCGTTCAAAGCACACTCAGAGACAGCCGCCGGCGTGTGTGTCGCGCCTGGCGACTTGGACATGTGGGTGGTTTCTACCCTCCCAAACTTCAAAACGTCCCGGAAATGCCTGAAAGAAGGATGGAGAAGGGGTCAAATATGGTTCAGTGACATGAGTGATGTGAGATAAACACATCCGACACGTGTTGAATTTATCAAAGTGGATGCTTTCGAAATGGCAGGATCCACCGATTGCTCGTCGCTGTTTTTTTTCCGGATCAGCCTCTGCATTTCAATCTCTCAGTGCGTGGGCTTTGCACTCCGCCACCCTTCCGATCAAGAAATTCTTGCAAAAGAATCCTTAAACATCTATGATTCAGCTCCATTCATGAAGTTTCTGCTGTGTTTTCTCCTTTTTGGTGAGTCCTTGGGCAGAGCCCCACGGCACATGGAACTTATGTTACAGGTCCAAGCTCAGCTTTTCCAGTGAGGTGCTCAGAAGAGATTCGTCTTCCTGCGGCAGCACTGCGGGTCCCAGATTCCATGGATTTCCCCATTGAGATCATGGTGGCTTTCCCTTAAACCAATCCATTGATGAAGATATTGCAAATGTCAACAGTTGCTTCAACAAGGTGAGAGAAACTGGAAGTTGTGGAAAGGCAAATATGGTGAGATCAAGGACATATGGTTCTTTACGAAGTGTATAGTATCTTTACCATTCCGAGGCAGAACCTGTGGCATCCAAGGGGGGGCGTGATGTCGCCGTGCCAAACTAAAACACACATCTACACTCTTGGGTAGGCACCCAGCGGCACAAAGCGATAGACTGCATCAAACATATTCAATTCAAAAATAATCATTTGATCTCGCTTGGGGAGACTAGCTAGATGAATCTGATGGTACAGTACACCTGGTAAAGAATCCGGCGGGAAAGTCGCCAATGTAACAAGAAGAACCTGGACAAAAGGTGTGCAAGCACAGGTTATCACTAAGAAAAGCATTTGAAACAACTAGTCAATCAGATCCGCCTATGGCCATCCTGTGAACAGGATTTCTTGACAATGATACAATATATCATAGGAAAACTGGATGAAACAAAATATGGTAAAATAAAACAATTGAACTGAAGTCCCATTCATGGCAAGATTCGCATTGGCATTAATTACCAAAAAACAACAACAAAAATCCTAGTGACATCTGTTCAAATGAGATTGAAGAGGGAAGCAAACTAGTGTATTAACTGCACATGTTTTCGCCGTTTTTTTTTCCCAGGCACCCATTATATCCAGTACGAGGATCACTCAAACATATTGTAACTGGCTGAAGTTTGAAACCAAGCGTCTTCATAATGCGAAGGAATTCTTCCTCGTTAACTTCTCCATCACCATCGCGATCTGCTTCATCAATCATCTCCTCACGGCGTCATGCACGCTACATCTGCGCAAGCTTCCGTGGAAACAGGGATTCTGTTTTGGGAGATGAGTGTGGCCAGCAACAAGGTTGGCAAAACCTTGCCATGAAGTTTGATGAAGTCTGGCAGTTTTTGTGATTAACCCCCCATACTCTCCCCATACTGTGGATGGTTGCGAAATGCTGCACCACTAACCGGGTTGTTTTTCAACCCTACAAATGGGATTGAACCACCTATCGGCTGCAGGATTTCTATGGATTTCTTCCATCATTTCACTGGATTGGTGTAAGGGAAATTTTACACAATTTAATTATATACCCGGTACCCCTATATATATATATATACCCCCATATTTATATATATATATATAATGGAAATTTACAGGAAACCCCCATGATCTTCATGGTTTCCTATCCACGGTAAACCCGGTTAAGATTTTCCCAACAAAACCAATCCAATGATCCACGCCTGCAACTCCTCGTCGGTCATCCGTTCTCCCAACTCCTTGGCCACACGCTTCAAATTCCTGGGCGCCGTCCGTGGCGTCTTGGAATTTTCCATGGGACAACATGGGGCCCCCGGAGAATATGGGAAGATCAAGGGGATACAACATAGGGACGTAGGTCTGGTTTCACTTCTAAACATGTCTAATTCAACTGAGGCTTCTTGAACAACAAACTTTGGGCGATCTGCAATCTGCACCATCAAAAGGTGTGAATTGACCAAGAACAAGCAATGGGCTGAAACAATAAAACATCGGGATAGGTGACTTAACACTAAAAATAGGATCTGACTGATGACTTCGATCCATCTGAGGAATATCGGACAACTGTGAGGTACAAGCAATGATCCTCCCAAGTAGGGACAAAAAGACAAAAACAATACGTTATTATTTGTTATTATGAAAGCCACCTACATTCTCTCTCTCTCTTTCTCTCTCTCACCCTCCCTCCCTCTCCATCGCCTTCAGACAAAGCCACCTTTATTACAGACAAATATGTTCTCCAAGATCTTCATATGATACACACGCACACATAATATCACATATTACATAGCGATGTCTATATACGCACACATAGGATGTGCATAACCCTGAAAAACTGGGGCAAACAGGAGAGAGCGGCAAGGAAGGGAACCCGCCGATGCAATGGCCCCAAATCGCAGGTAGGATGTCGGACAGAATCCCCTCATTCAATCATGTGTTGATGTATAAGTGTATTAGTATGATATGTACGTACAAATCCCTACTATAAACGAACATATACCACTTGACTACGTGTAATGTGTATATGTATGTACACGGTACACGCACACATTATATTATTTATATCATATGTATCCGGCACATATTTAATAATATGATATATATATATATATGCACACACGCATACACAATCATATTTATATAAAAACAAGTGGGCTTGGCGGTTTCAGCTAGCTTACTCCATCGAAAAATCTACGACTTGGCCCTGTTCACCTCGAAGGCATCTTCCCATGGCAAGTCACTTGAAGGAGATCTTGCCAGTTTCCTGAACTGGTCACATGAAGGGCGCTATCAAACATGGGAAATCACCGAATATACGGAAATAAGATTAAATAAGTGAATAAACAACAAGAATTTCCAAGAAACTGGGGGGACCTACCATTGTCATGGTTGGCAGGGATTGTCAGGGCCTCGAGCTGTCGACATATACTAAGCGGGTATACTCCCTCCCTCTCTCTCTCTCTCCCTCCCCATCGCTTTGGCATACTACACCAATTATAGTATATACACAACATAACTATCTAAGCACTAAGGCCGCATCATGGCATTGTGTCAAACCACCCTACTAGTACATAAAGCATCAGTGTTTGTTGCTGATTGGGGAATTGAATTCAACCCAACAAAAAAAACAATAAATTGAATTAAACCCAACAACAAACAAAAATAAAACATACAAGCCAGTAATATAATGTTGGCCAAATAGTTGCGTTAGTACATACCATGACATGCCTGACATGCTACCGAGAATAAATAGCAAAACTATGCAAAATTGGCAAAACTGAAGTTCACAAAACCATTTAAAAAAAAAACACATTACAAGTAGAAAGTACCTAATGTGTCTGAAACTGCGCATGCTGATCTGTGTAAATCAGGGCCATGTTGATATGCTCAATGCTCAACCATCTTTCATCTACCAATAAAACACATCTAGCTGCCAGTGTGGGCAATGATCTAGTCGGTTGGGATCTCATCATACACAGTATGTGTGATGAAATCGTGTTTGAGAACATTTAAGAACAATGATCTGTGGTGGTTAGGACCGGTTCCAAGAATCTTGGTCAAACGGCAAATGGAACATATATTATAGCCGCAGCCGTAGTAACTATATAATTCCAAACAACTGGAGGACCAGTAAATGTGTTCCCAAGAAATGTCAATCAATGGTCACCTGATGGTTTGGGTCATGTTTTTTAATTCCAAAATGCCCGTATGAAGGGTTACAATTGGGCCCTTCAAACACCCTGCAGAAACACTGGTTTCAAACCCCCAGGGTAAAAGGCACCAGCCGAGTTTCGTCATCGTCGAAAAGGCGGAAGGCTTTCAAGATTTCATCCTAGACATGGGCGGCATGAGACATTGGATACTCATGATACCATCGCAGCAGTCGGAAAGGAATTTTGGACCATGGAAAACCTGGATGAAACATGATGAAACTTATGAAACCGTTTCTGCATGTTCTTCAAAGCTACAGGGCCTTTTTAGACTTCTGCCGCATGTTGGACTAGCGGTTGCCAGCCCCAAGCAAACGCACAGAAAAAAAAACATCAACCCAGACCGGGTGAACCAGACAAAGGGTCTTTGGGATCGCGGTTCAAGATCTTGTGCGTCATCATCTTTAAGAATTCCTCATAGCCGATGGTGCCAGAGCCGTCATCGTCCACATCCTGGGTACCACATGCCATGCCCTGATGGCAATCAATGCTTATGAAAAACCAGAAAAATGAAGCGATATAAGTATATATAATCATATACATATGTTTACATATGTACATATTTATTTGAGTATACAGTAGACATAAGAGTATATATGTAATACGCGTGTTTCAAAAACATCATGTTGGTGAAGTTTCTGATTCCTCATCCAGGAGCTAGGTACTTTTGCTCCCGTAAATCCTCCCGAAATCGTCAAGTGTCGGAGATCATTTTCTGAATCTCCTCCTTCTTGGGCTCAAAACCCAACGCCCTCATGGCCACCTTGGCGCCGAACCAGGCCATGTTCGGACCCACCAGGCAATGTTTTGGGTATCTTTCCGCAAATGGATCTTAGTTTTTGTGGCTGAAGACTGAAGATGGGGTTAACCCAAGACTCTGGTGATTTCAACAACATGTGTGTTCTTTTTCAATGGGAGACCATAAAATTATACCATCTTTGGACAAACTCATATACATATATACAAATATCATTATGAATTACTCATTTGTCAAATCCCCATCTTTGATGATTAAGTCACTTACGGAAAAGTACATCCCCATTATTGTTGGCTAGCCGTTGGCTCCTATCCATGTTTGATGGGCAATATCACCATGTTTGTTGACAATTTGTTGGCTAGCACCCTTCATCAAAATGGACCAACCCTTAACCCTTATATAAATAATTAGATATTGAAATGTTGATGAAGCATCCCACCTCATATTCTCATTATCTCATGATGGCTTCTAAATCTCTCTAATTTGCGTGGTGAATGTATCCCTGCCTTCAGCTCCTTTGAATCGATCTCACCTAGCCAGGCCAGCAAGGCGGAGATACACTCCTCTAAACTAACATGTTGATGTGGAAAACCCAGCATTTGCATTGGGTTTTCCACATCTATGTTAGCTTACCCTAGGGATCCCTAGGGTACAATATGGATCTCTAATGATCCATATGGTATAAACATGTATAATCCATTTTCGGACACACCTATTACAGTACTATTACTGTACGTGCTGATTGCACTGGGCTTTGGCTGATAGATAAATTCCATCCGGAGTGTTTTGAGTGTCGTGTGCTTGTGGTTCGAACAGATTTACTCGTCCAAAGGTCCTTGTTAATACGAAACCTGACCAATTTTCTGGAACCATTGGTGCCTTATGCATTTAATTCTACATGCAATTACAATAAACCATCCCAATATATCCCAATAATGATTTCGGGTTATTCAAAAAAATAATGGTCTCCCAACTGTCAAATTTTTACTCCGAGGTCGGCCAAGAGCCCTTATGAAATCTATGAATCATAGCGCATTACGTCAGAGAGGATCAGTAAAATATGGTCCCAGTCCCAACTTATCATCAAAAACCTCTCCAAATGTTCTAATGGTAAAGGGTGACTATCCGCTATTTGTCGAGCCAAACTTTTGAAACACGCAAGCAAAAAAAACACCCCCCAGCATCAGCATCAATAAGCTATGTTTACATGAGACACCCAATGAACCATAAAGAACCAAAAAAAAAAAACATGTGGGTGTGAAAATTGCTGATATTTGCTGTTTAACAAGAGGATTTAGGGGTGCCATATCCTCAAAGCCAAAGAATCGTATAGTCGGTATACATCCTGCTGTATCCCCGCTATACATGGGTAGGGCTCAAAAGCCGGTATGGATCGATCCGCGGTGATCCGGACGTATGGAACACCTGCTTTATGTATAAGAGGTTTGTTCCGGACATATTGAGAAGATGAGAAGATGCACGAAAGTGGCCTGGTATGAGTACCACGTATTATTTTTGGGCATGGATCAAGGGTGTGTGTGGATCATGTCCCCTAGAGATGTATTATTGGATTATGGGTATGGATCGCCTGTGGGTCCAGGGTACGGATCGAGGTCATGTAGTTTGAGCCGCAGCCACATGTATAAATATTGCATACTATACATATTAATACATATATATATATATATATCATACATGTTTATATCATAAAATGTGTGTATATACATAAAAATAAAATACACACATATATATATAAATACATATGATGACCATGTATATAATATACACATACAAATATATATATATGGCAGTGTGTCAAAACCTTGTACCCCTGTAGTTCACATCAAAATAGCTGGGATTTATGGATGTTCATCCCCCTAAAAATGGTATTTTCATAGGTATTGATCCATACCCATATATATATATATATATCATACATGTTTATATCATAAAATGTGTGTACATAAAAACAATACACACATATATAAATATAAATACATATGATGACCATGTATATAATATACACATACAAATATATATATATGTATATCATACCATCTTAAACCCAAATACCGATCATGTGAAACACCCTCTCTGCCTGAGCCGTCCGTGTCGAAAAGGTCGAAGGCTTCCTTGATCTCCTTGTCGCATTGGAGGCGCGGAACCCCCGTTGATCTTGCACAAATTGTAGCAAAGGCTAGGCTAGAAACACGTAGAAACACTGTTTATATCTGTTTATGGGTATGTATGATTAGAATATCAACAACAAAATCAATAAGCGTGCAATGAATAATGTGTGTCTACAAAAAAAATGGAAACATGGAAACCACATTTTAGTCAACTATTTACAAATATATACAGCAGGTTCGATCTCTGGAAAAACACGCAATTGACCAAGTTGGAATTTATTCACGAAACATGGATCACAGCACTGGTATCCACTGGTAAATTGGCGCAATCCACTGGTCACAGCAGTTGGGGCGCCACGCCCAACACGTGCAAGCGTCAATTTGGGCGGTCGTTCCGAAGTGTCAGGAATATATATATATAGTGTACGTATATATGCAACAAACTTTCAGAACTCCAAGCCAGCGCTTTTCTTGGGTACGGTATGTATGTAACATTAATTGTGTAACTCACAAAAAAAGAGACCCGAGCTTACCAAAAGCCTGCAGGGTGAAATAATTCATCCAGCTGGTCCATCAGGTTCCTATTCCAATGGCATTTCTGTATCCGGTGTTTCCCCTATGTTCAAACATTTTTCAATCAAACCCACACCAACAATGCCTGATTGCATGATCTAATTACAGTATATACTACATCACATCCCCAAATACTAATCCCTATATGCCCTATTGTTGATGATTAACCATCCCCATACATACATATATATATACACATACATATATTTATATACATATTACCGCGCAACGCTTCAGACGCTTCAGCATTCCTGCTTCTGTTCATCAGTCAGTTCCTTCTGCCTCGGTGATAGGTGATTCAAAATTTGGCACTCACCAAATGGGAGTGTCTTACAATGCGATAATCCGATAACACCTCCCATTTTAGGTCATTTTAATGGAAAACAAACATGGTAAATCAATGGGATTTGGGGATATGGCCCAAGATCTTTTGCTTCTCGCCTGAAATTCCCACACGGATTCTGACCCATGCTATGGCCCCCTGGAACAGTTCACGCAGAAACATGTATTAAACTACCCCATCAGGTTTACCAATGGTCTACTGATGGGCCTGTAGAGGTCCTTCGAACGCACCCATGGCAAGTTCGAACGTTCGAGAGATATCCTGTGTTTGTGAAATACCTAGCATGCAAGGTCCCAAACTTTAGCTGTTTGCACATTTGAGATCCAAAATCTTTTAGTCCTTGTTCATGCACCTCGAGGTTTTACACGATCTAAAAGAAATAAACTTGAAGGAAATCGCCCATAATATAAATATATATCTATATATTTCTCCCTATAATCCACCAGGTGTTTGTTGATTCAGTGACATCCAAATCACTCGTATGTCGTATATGTCGTGTATATATATATATATATACATATACAAACACAATATATATATATATGCATATGTGCACATCTTCATTCATATATGAGCAACCGTAAAAACCCCGGCAATACTAAATATGTATTCGACGGACATTGGCTTATGGAAATTGATGGAAATTGTTAAAAACACGAGGTAAGCGATGGGACCTTCCCAAATTAGCGATACCCCTTTTCAAGGTTATGTCATCATACTTCTCTAATATCCACATTAGCGATACCCAAATATCACATATTATTCATAGTTCATCATCATATATATATATAAATACAGCAGTTCCTGCAAGCGATACCCCCCAAGTTTACCATATATCATTATTGTACAAACGTGTGGTAAGCGATGGGACCTTCCCAAATTTGTGAATGTCCTTTCCGTGAACCTAGGGTTTTCACAATCGCTCATATATAATTATTTGTTTGTTGTGTCTGTATGCATGTCTGTCTCTTGGTGTGTGATGGTGTCTGAATCAATACATATGTGTCATATACAAATGACTTCAAATGAAACCATCTCGGACGACTAGTCCATCCAACAAGCTGCTTCTTTCCGCCGGCATTGAAACGTCGAAGAGCCATGGCGATGACGCGGTGGCGATAGCTGGGAAGCGAGCGACCGGACAACCAAGGTGCTGTGGGGCCGAAACAAAACAGGGCGCAAGCAATGATGGCCTTATAGCAGCCCCCCAAAAACATATAGACAAATAATTATGTAGTCGTTTGCCACCAGTCTAGCAGAAATTATCAGGATTTTATATACTTCTCTATCTTTGTGGGGGTTGCACACACACATACATATATATATATATATACAGTATATATATACATATATAAATTATATATATATATATTTACACGTGTGTATGTATGTCTATATATATATTATATACATATATATATATATATTATATACATATATATATATATATCATACGCTTGTACATAAATGCATATCATTGCATATCTATGTAAACATCATATGTATAAACGCCGCCCCCGCTTGGAGTAGGGGGGCGCGTCAGAGGAGAAATTACCAGCAGCAAGGGGCAATGCATCATTGCGGAGAATCATTTACCATACCTTGCTGCCAGACCATACATTTCTTTAAAAAAACATGGCAACTCATTCAACCGGTCTCAAACAACCGACGACAACAGATCCAGCTGACCAACCCAAACGCACATCACGTGATTTCATTACCGTCCTGTGGCAGTACGGCCCGGACCAGGCACAACGAATTCTATACAGTACAATAGCTGTAACCACTGTAACCCACAAATTTATACAAATTTTCTTATCCGACAGGGGGGCTATAAGAATAGTCGTGAAACCTCACATCTTCTGTTTCTGTCCCTTTTCTTCCGTTGCTCTTTGCTTTTCCAAATTCGCGCACAACTGTATTCCAAGCTTCTCGGCTCTTCACAACTTCAAGAACGATCCGGATGGATTGGTTTCGAGTCTAAAGGAGCCCTTCATGTTTATGATGCCGCTTGGCGGGCCTCTATGCAAACTTGATCGACTGTCAAGTACGGGGCTGCACCCATAAGCATCTCCAGCGCTTGCGAAGTCAGAGCTTTTTCACTCAGCATGTTGGGCCAGAACCATTCAAGCCCGCCCCCAAAAGTTTCCTTAACCAATCCAGGTTCCTTTTTCTCGTGAAAGTTTTCTCCAGCTCGCACCCCCAGGCCTGCACATTGTGCCATGACCACGGCTCTGAACTGAGTGCCTGCCACTCTTTCTGAGGGTAACGAACTGCTGCCACGTGGAGTCACCTTGGCGGTTCGGCCATGGTTGCCGTCTGCTCCTTACTCCTGCTCAACAGCGATACTTCCATTCAGGGCTGCAAAGGCCGGTCCTGCGCCTGGAAAGCGTAGATTCCGCGTACATAGATCCATCAGGTTTTTACTTTTACTAGCACAATGATTGTCCTGGCAAGAGGCCTCAAAGAGTGTGGGGCGTTGATGATGACGATGCTGATGATGATGATGATGATGATGATGATGATGATGAGGATGAGAAGGACGAGGTTGAGGATGCTAATGCGGACGATGAGTTGGAGGATGATACGGTGGAGGATGAAAAAATATGTTGAGAAGAGGAAAATGATGATGTTGAAGCTGATAATGTTGCGGAGGATGCTGAAAAGGATGATCGTGTTGCAGAGGATGATGTGGAATATGCTGATGTTGCGGAAGATGATGCTATTGCGGCAGATGCGGTGGAGAATGATGATGTTGTGGATGTCGATGTTGCGGAGGAGGAAAATGATGATGGTGAGGGTGATGATTTTGAGGAAGATGAGGTGGAAAATGATGGTGTTGAATCTGATGATGTTGAGGAAGAAAAAATGATAAAGTTGAGGCTGATGATGTTGAGCAGGAAGGATATGATGATAGTGAAGATGATGATGTTGAGGAGAGAGAACAATATGATGTTGAGGATGATGATGTTGACAAGGAAGAAAATGATGATAATATATGATAATATATGATAATATATGATAATGAGGATAAGTATGCTGAGGAGGAAGATGATGATGGTGCTGCAAATTGATAGGGATGTTGGTACCTGCATTATCCTGCCACATAATGCGTGCCCATAGCCCATAACATGTACTGCCCCTGCGTTACAAGGGGGGAAGCGGAAGTGACCACGACCATTAAGGGATAGGCAACATTTAAGTGCCGGAGGCGCGGGAAAACAGGCAACCTCCACAAACCCTCTGCAGAAGATCATGCAGAAAGAGGAACATATGCTAGCTGCAAACCTAAAAGTGTGTTCTACATTGAAAGCAAAAAAGGGTCTACGATGGTACTGGCACACCATTCTAAACACCTTGAACCTGACAGTTTTTAATATAATATATAAATGCATATGAATAATTGTACATATAATATACAGTACACGCATTGAGCTTTCAAATGGGATCTATGCTCGATTGAGACCTAGTACGGACTCATCAACTTTATCAGTCGCTTCATACGTACTGTATATGCATAAGCCTATGTCAAATACCAGCAATGAAATCCAAGGCCATGGGTGCAATTTCGTGAGGATGGTACCCGAAATGGCCATTGTCTTGCTTATCACATCCAACATATTTGGCAATGCTTTAGAGTGTCAAGAATGATTCATCCAGATCACTGGAGGGTTTTCACAAGTTAGAGGCACGGCATGAGGCACAAAATGAATCAAAATGACATGGACATAGTCAGTTCTTGGCCAACACCCTGCTGCCGCAGCGCCTCTAAGGACTTAAGAGAGCAACTTGGCCCTGACCTCACATTTTTTGGTTCTTTCTTCACATCCGGACATGAAATTTGACATGGGATGGAATGAACTCCAAAAAACCGAAGGGATCCAAAAAGTAGACATAAGCCACAGAATTAAGATGCATTTTTTGCTGCTTATGTTTGCATGGTTTTGCATTCGCTGCGTTGGTCGGATGGGCAATATTGATCAATATTGTCAATACGAACCGTATCTGGATTTACATCATGGTATCATGTATGTGTCAGATTGGCATGGGTCAAAATGGTCAAACCAATTGGTCCCCCGAAAATGGTTGGCTCAAGGTCCCGAACATGACCAGGCTGTTGTGGGTTCAGTGCCCCAATTCCGAGAGGATCATCCACTTCGGGATCTCACTTCTTAGCCTCTTGCGGAGTTGATGTTGGTTTTCAAGGGGTGCATGCAACAGGAGAAAAGTGAGATAGCCAAATCCAAATCGTCTCGGCAACCTTGAATCACGCCAAAAAAAAGGCAGTGGCCCCAGACATTAGTAAGTCCTCGAAGTGTACTGAAGCAATCAACCAAGAACCTATGAGGCACTCCTAGTCGCCTCACTTTGACAATGCGTTCAGCCCAACTCTTAATAAATTCGCATGACATGGTTTTAGAACATGAAACTTTACCACAAAAAAACACGCTTAATCTGGAGCATTTCCCCAGCTCGACCGACAGATTGTTGGGGCACTGTTGGGCAAATGTTCTTCAGAATTGAATCATACGGAATGACTTTCGTGACACCAGGATCTTTAGACTAAAACATTCTAAAAACCCAGGGTGCTTTGGCATAATTCTCCCCGTCCAATGAAAATGTGCATTTTTTGCTTTATTTTCCCCTTGGCATCTCCACAGGGAATCCAGCCCCAGATTAGCAGTGATGTATGCAAAAATTCACCAAACATCAAAAATGCATTAGGCAAAACACGGCAAGACCATAATCTTTCGAAGACATTTTTGTGTGAGATTTCAATTGGCGCTCTTGCAGCCGAGTGTCCCGGTGTCCTCCCGGACCGGGACTGCCTGAGAAGAATTCCGTGGAATTAGCAACAAGACTCTGACAAGACTGAAACATCTTAAAGCCCCATCCGGTTTAACATCCTGGACATGGACAAAGTGGAGGTCCAAAATGTTCATCTGGAAACAACAATTTCCCCTTAGTTGTGACCTCTCCCATTTTTTGAAAAGGATCACGCTGGAGAGTGTCACAATTGAAGACCCCGAGTTGTCACAAGTCAACAAATGTCAAACAACAATCCAATGTGCAGCTTGTGCATGACACATAGACTCAAACATGTCAATTGTTTCGCCTGGACGTGCTGAACGTGTTGTCACACTACATTGGGGTCATCCTGATCGGGATGGGGTACTGTGTATATACATTGCGTATAGCACGTACAAAGCCATCCCTAGATCAAAACCATTCAAAACCTATATTATATACATATTGCATATGAATAATATGTCATGTACATTTTAGAACATGCCACAATGCCATACTTATATATATATACTGTATTGTACCAAATGCTGTTATATCCATAATATATATATATATTTCTTTATTTATGTATTTATGTACAAATACATCAAATATTATATACATATAATTCCGGAAATTCATTCATTTGTGAACCTGTCCAAATCACAGTCATCAGACACAAGCGATATGCGAAGTATATGTGCCAAGTTACTCTTGTTGAGCCTCCCTGTGCTGTTCGACTTGGCTCGTGGTGCCTGACGTGTAGCAATGGAAAACAAATCAAATGTACTTCTTCAGAAACATATATAATATAATATATATTATTATAATTATATAAATATGTGGGCATATTGATGCATATTGCGCTTCAAAGGCTTTAATGCAAAACAAAACATGAATATAACACGGGCACTTGGTTTTTGTATTTGTTTGTTGTGCATATATTCCGTATTTATGCCAGAGGCATCAAACCAGTCTGCGCATACAGAAATGCACGAAGCCATTGATACCATGCGTAGAACGAGTGGAAATCATGCAGATAAGTACTGTTTATGGCGCACTGTGTTGGGACATAGTTATCTCATACTTATGCATCCTTGCCCAAACAATAGTTGGACATGGGTTGCGTCTGACATTGAAGAGGCTGTCCGTTTCCATTGGAGAACAAAAATCATCGAACATCCAGGAAAGCACCTGAACATCTCGCCGCCCGCGAGAACGCGTTGAACGCATTGCACCTAGGCCGCGTTAAGCATCCCACATCGGCAGGAAAGTCTGCAACTGTAGCTGCTAAGCCACTACGCAGTCACAATCTGCAGGATGTAAGGAATGCAACCAGCTTGAAGAACCAAGTCACCAAACTGTTAGATTCCCTTGATGCCAAGAACCTCTTTGGGAAAATGATGGAACATGGATCTGAGATCCCCAAGCATGCCCTCTTTTCTACGCTGATGGAGGCTGACGCTCTGATGCACTAATCCAGTGGACAGTAAAGGACGGAAACCGGCCAAAGAAACGATCGAAGTGGAGGGGGCGCATGCTCATCATCATTCCACCACTTCAAAAAGATTGAAGCTCCCAAGAGAATTTGGACGTGTCCAAAGTAGACCTAAGAAAACGGAAACGGATCAAAATGCATCACAGTATATCACTTTTTGTGCGCCTGGAGTTTCCCAATTATTCGAGATATTTCGAGATGGAGGTAAATGAGGTAGCGACCCCATTCACAGCACCATACCATTAAACCAAACTTAGAAATCCTGGTCTCCAGAGCGCAACTGGTTCATTGCACTCATATTTGCCGTCCACGGTCTTAGGCGGCAAAGGGCCAGTGACATTTTGTCTGTTCCAACGAGCGGCCGGTGTGAAACTGCCTAGGGCAAATTGGAGCTGTGGAAGTTCCCCCCTCCAAGAAGTATGGTTGCTTTTGCAGTCTCTAAGCCAAAGCGGTCTATTGCAATCCCCCAATCATATTCAACAACTCGGGTGTACCATCTTGTACCCAATTTCAGGACAGCTAGAAAAGGGACATAATGCTCGAGGATGCCCGTGTCCGGGCAAAGACCTTGCAAGTTTTTCCCAGCTTTCCAAGTTATCAGCAATTTTCTTGCCGCAAGCACACACTTTGACATAGGGGCAATTCCATGAAGAATCTGCGGCCCTAGCTCTGCGCTGCCCTCAAACATGAGGCTGTGGCCTTGGTAGCATCGCCATCCGCAAAGTGACGAGGTGGATTGGAATTGTCAAGGTGGCCTTGCTTTGCCACTGAAGATTCTTCATACGGCCATTGGGCAATCATTCATATACAAATACATAAATTTTATTATTATAGAAAAACCGACACTTAAGTGTCAATGGCTCTGGCTCAATAGTCTGACAAAAAGCACCAGTGCCTGGATACCCCGAAACATGGCAAATAATGACCAACAAGGCCTCACGAAAATCCAAGGGTCCCCCCCAAAGGTATCCCCCCAACAATTGAGGCTTACTAAAGTCCCAACAAGGGTTGATAATTATTTGTGTATTATTTGTTTCAGGGGTACAGCCTGGGGTACCTTTAGGACTTTCAATACTTCGACTGATGGATTTAAGGGAAAACTTACGATTGACACCCAGGTTTTTAACCCCCGAATCAAGGTTTTAACCCCATTCGTCTCCCTTAAACCAATTCCGGGATTAATTGGTATCAAGAACTACAATAATCACTACATAACTAACTAATCATCATCACCACACTATCTATGGTTTTTCCTGAAGATATCCTACAGTTTTGGCCCTTAACAGTTATAAATGGGATTATGATTCCTGTAACTAAGGCTGTATATCATTAAACATCATTAAACCAGTTATATATAAATCATACCGCATACCTGTTATTTAAGACCCATCACCCCTCCGCGGGGCCACCTACACCTCACAAGCCAGGGCAGAAGAGCACTGGGAGCAAGCCGGACACTCTGCCTTGGCACAGCCCCGGAAACGCGACAAATCAAGTTCGCTTAAACAAGAAATACGTGAATATTTGATGGGGATATGGCAGGAATATTCGGAATACTCATTAAATGTGTTGTAACATTGAACAAGCAAGTTTAACCTATGGGAAAATTAGGGAATATTTACATATATTTACTGGGATATATTTCACCAATAACGTCACAATCACAATATGTGTTTGGACAAATGATGAAACTGAGGATTTTTTGGGGGGGGAATTAAATTATGGAATAGTGATTGATTGAGATATTATGAACACGGATATTCACGAATATTCAACAGAAACCAGTGGATTTAGTGATTCCCTATATTCACACAAACCCATATCGACCCCCACAATGAGCAGACCAACCAAGATCCAAGTTCCCTAGGCGGCGTGAAATGCTAAGGGGGAAGGGGGTGTGACAAAGCACCAGCAAAGTCCAGCTTTGATGGGATTTTTTCAACATGATTCAAGATTGTTCATGATGGAAGTTGATGCACAGTCAAGAAACCTGTCGTCGTTCTCTTGAAACCAGGCTTGTGTGCCACAAGTGCCACCCTTCCGACCCACCCTGAGGTCATGACATGGACACGTGCAACAGCTATGTGGCAGGGACTGGCATCGTCCTTGAACATGCTGTCTGCCTTGGAGAGCCAATTGAGATTAATTATATTTCTCTCCATCACCATCTCGTTCATTGAATTTTTTTTTTTTATATCTGGAGTTGGAGGGAAAAAACATATTCCCAACCACGAGCCGTT